TCTCAATCGTGTTCGAGTTCCCAAAAGACCTAAAAGGAGTGATAACATCCCAATTCGAGGCTTTTGCCTTCACTATAACAAGGAAAACGAAGTAAACGGTTCAAGAGGAACGGGGAACAAAACCAATTTTCTGCTATACAAAAGCATTTCACAAAGATTCGGCAATTTTGTACCTTGTCCGATGATCTCCAACTCAAATTTGTCCTTTAACACTTGCGGCAGGTTTTCAAGCACGGTGTTTTTGTCTAAAGTTGTGTTTTGCTCTCTTCGAGAATCTGTCCCAATGATCTCAACGCGAAAGTTGGTAGCCATAATTCCCGCACGCACAACAACAAGCTGACTCAAATTATCTGCAGTCAAGACAAACACAGACATTACGCGCGCCCACCTAAGGTGAACAGCTGTAAGTCCGCGTTCTGTCAACCTCGTTCCGTGTCATGCTCTTTGCGAGTGACAAAATAGGACAGTCGATTCAGTCTTCTTATATCAGTTATCTGACTTAACTATAGCAGCACTTTGCCTCTGCGAGAACAAGTTCTGTCGATTGTATCTGGGAGTATTGAAAAGCAAACTATGCTATTGACGTTTTGACTGTCCAAAGCAGAACATGTCACGAAAGAACCTGACAATGTGGTCTCTATACACGGTATACAGCTGTCTTTCTATACTTGCAATTTCGCGAATAGTCGCAAGTATGGATAATATGGAGAGTGACAAGATCAAACCGAAAAGCTACCAGGAAGGAGTGGATAACAATATTGCTGCATTGAACGACGAAATTTTGTCAAAGGATTCATGTAATATTGTAAAAACAAAGCAAGTTCTTATAATTGTTGAGGACGGCCTGAAGCTTCAGTGTGCTTGTGGAACATTACTGACATATGGAAAGTTTCGCAACACAGAAAAGAAGCTTTCATTTATATGGCGCACATCAGAGATCACCTGTGCTCCTCTAGGCATGGTCTTGCACTGGGCTGGACGTACCAGAACGGTAAAGTAGAGCGGTACATGCACCCTAGTGCTAAACGCGCTTTTGGTGCCGATGCAGAGCGCTCAAGGAATCTGATGAGGAAATGTTTCGGTGCTGCTTGCAGTGACGTAAACATGACCGCCAGCAAGGACAAAAGGGAAAACTCGCAGAGTTTTAATAAGTCGCACTTACAAAAACAAGGAGGTGCTAGCCAGAATATAGATACAAGAACTTGTCCAGCTTCAAGAGAAGTGCATCATGCTGTCGAAGATACACAAAAGAAACGAGAAATAGCGATCATAGAAGCCGGCGTTTCCGAGAGATATATATCCAAGGAAAAGAACATCGAAGACCGCTGTCAGAGACACGATGTTCAATTTCAAGCCGGTAGATTAAACTGTGAAAAAGTGTTCAACGAAGTGCGGCTTTCAGCTACCGAGGCAGAATTACTCGAGGAACGAATTGAAAATTAGCAACTTTTGCGAAAACGGAAACAAGATGACTGCTTGCTGAGTTCTTTGCCAATGGACATTTCACTTCAAATTGACACTGCAAAACGTCAAGCGCGTTATGTTGAACTTTGTTTTCAGTACCGCGATGTTATGGAAAAGTTGTACTGGCAAGACAACAAGCTCCTAGCAAACAAACTTGAATGTGGTCGAATGAGTAGCAACCTTTGTGAAAGCCAAGCTTCCGAAATTACTGTTGCTCAGGCCGTGAAGTTACAATGCAAGGTTGAGTTACTAGAGGGAAAGTGTAAACTTATCCAGGCAAACGTGGACATCAGAAAAGAGGATTACCAAAAGAAAATTGACGCGATTAAACTACGAGTTTTTGAAAAGGATCAGTTGATTAAAAGTAAGTTCTAGGTTGGTTTATACTACCCGATCATGGCCCAAAAAGTCTAAAACGTTTGATTCAGTTTTTTTTTTTTCAAACTAGTACCATTTTTTTCTATATATTTTATAAACTGCCATTTGCCGGGCAAGTCTTCTTCTATATGCCTCCAAAATATATAAAATCAAACAGCCTTAACAGTGGCTCGCCAGAGTATAAAATCTGAATCCTAACTCTTAAAAGTTTCTCCTCGATTCATTGCTGTTTGTAAACTTTGGGGTTATTGAAACTATATGGCCTCTTACCCAACGTATACTACCTTTTGAGCAAAAATCAATCACTAAAGAACACAGCAAAACCTTTTTGCGTGTTACTAACGCTAATCTGTCTTTTACAATGCTACAATAGCTTACCGCTAGACGTAAACGCCATATGTTAAATACTGTATTACTATTTTTTAAAAAAACGCATGTAATCTCTTTCAGTGCTGTAACAGACCGTCGATGACGCGGTCAAAAAATACAAAAGCATTCCCGACTATCTTCGACACGCTGCAGTTTCAATAACTAATGGCGAAATGGATGATAGACCGGTCTTAGTGAAATTCCTGGAAGATCTTGGCAAGTATTGTCTGCGTGGAAGAACTAAGTTTTCCGAAGAAACTCTTAGTGTATTTGCTGCTGTACTCAATTTTAGCCCGGCAGCAGCAAGGACATTTGCATTGAATTTGTTTGGACCTTGTGACTCCCAGGTTCGATTATTTAGCAAAAGGTCTGTTGCTGCTGAATTTTGCATTAAGGAGGAGACTTTGAAAGCTGCTGCAAATTATTACAAATCCTGCAAATACAAAGGCCCATTTGAAATTGCAATGGATGCTACCGCAGTTACTGCTGTTGTAAGATTGGATTTGAAACAGAGAATTCCAATTGGTTTTGTCGAGGGAGTGGAAGGTCAGGGTCCTGTAACTACTGGTCAAGACCTTTATAACCGTTTTTTCCCAAATGGTCAACCTGCTAAACGTGCAACACAGGGAATGCTCATTCTTCTTCAGCCACTTCAAGAAGGCATCCCAGCGTATCCTGTTGGCATTATACCTGTGAGTGGTAAAGAGAATCGGGACCATATATCTCGATGGTACGAGACAACGTATGAATTTGCACTTAATAGCGGATTAAGAGTAATAGGGCTTGGTGCCGATGGATGTTCGCTGGTTCGATCATATTACTCAACTTAATGCCTAACTACTGATTTGATGTGTATTCCACCTGATTCATATGTGCTTACTGGCGGTGCTTTTAAACATACCATTCACTGGAACGAGCAAGTGAACTTCATTTGCTTTTCTGATCCAAGACACCTTCTGAAAAAGTTTGGGAACCCAATGTTATCAGTGAGTAGGGTAATGGTTATTGGGGATCATCTTGTAGATTTAAACGATGTGCGACTCACTTTCAAGCATCTTAAACTAGAATGTGGCATATATCGGACTGATTTTGATGTCAGTGACAAGCAAAATGTGGATGCTGTGATGAGACTTATCGGTGAGAGTTGTTTTCATGCTCTTGCAAAACTTGAAACTCTTAATCCATCCGTTTCTACACTTGCAACGAGAACGTTTTTGAAGTACGGAAAAATGCTTCACGATGCATTCTTCAAAAGGGAGTCAAATACTGGCGAACGATTATCAAGTGCTTTCCAGTTTCTATATTTCCTTGAGGCGAGTGAAGCATTTACCAGCTCAACAAGCAATAGTTATACGTGGAAAAAGAATGGACTTACATCAGAGGAAATGCTGCAGGACACTCGGTTTGCGGTTTCTTCATTAGTGTTTGGATACCTGGATTGCGTACTTTCATCTTTTGACGGTGGATATCATCCTTGGATGTATGGTAGTGATTCGTGCGAACGGTCTTTTGGAACATGTAGGACAATGCGAAATGTAAGGGAGTTGAATTTGCTGGACTTAAGAAATTCAATTGAACGATGGTTTTTTCAAGAAACATTGAGGAAAAATAGCAATATCCAAGTTAATCGTCCTAACAGCAATAAAAGGATGAAAACAACAACCGACATCCAGAACCTGTTATGCGAGAAAGACTTTCTTCTTCTGGTGAATGAAGTTTCTAAGAAGTCGTTGGAGAATGTTATCACTGACATATCAGGAATGTTTCCACAATATTTCGACTTAAATTCACAATTACGCCCATACGAGTTTTCGAAACGCTCCTGTATAAATGTAACTGCCATGAGTGCTACAGGTAGACAAAGTTCAGTCAACAAGATGAGCATGTTTCAGCAATGTGAGAAGTGTGACGTTTGTGGAAATAATATCGATAGTGAATTTTGCACCTTCTGTTCTCCATCTGTTAACGAGGTTGAAATTCTGGATGTTGAACTGTTAGTTGATGGAGTGGATGAGGTAGATGATGGTTGTGCGACTGAAAGTGAAATAGAAGATGACCTAAGGCAATACTCTAACATTTTACAAAGTTTGGATGAAGTAAACGAAATCATATCTGATCTTGGGGAATTAGGTATGCTACTGGAAAACAATGACTACGATCAAGATGAGCACGCTGATAATTTCAAGTCCGATCTTGTCACACCAACTTCATTGCAATCAGGTGGAAGGCTTTCTCCTTCAGCTAGTATTGCTACTAACTTAAATGATGACAGCAATAACGTTAACCAAGCAGCCCAAAGGAGCTCACTTCACGTTCAATATTAGGGCCAATATTACCACCTTGGCAAACTCTGTTCTCTCCTAGATGAAAAAAAGAAGATCAAACAGGGGACTCGTGTGACACGCTTTTGGAATGTTTACGCAGACTATATGCGGCCATTAATGGCTCACCAAGACATTAATTTGTCACCTCGTGTCATATTGAAAAGGGGATCATGTTATTTTGTGGAAAAGAGGAAGCATTGACGCAAAAGGGATATATATTGCAGGAAAATATATACTGGCAAAAGTATGCTCTTTGTTTTACGTACCCAAAGAATCATCTTCAGGATTTCTTAGACACAACTGGAATCCAGCAGAAAAGAACCCTGCCAACCACCTCAAGGTCTTACAATACTCTGAGCATAATGGAGATGAGATGGAAGAAACGAATATATCTCGCAGCGTTAGCAGGAACTGGAGAGGCATGATGTATACAGGCGATATATCTTTTCACATTTATGCCACCAGTGAATATGTATGTAAAGCGGAGGGCAACGCATCTGCTGATCTTAGTTTCTATACGCTGAAAGAAGACTTTGCTAATGACCTTGACCAGAGACGGAAAAAAAATCGAAGAAGCAGAGGAAAAACATTTGACAGATCAAATGAATAAAAGGAAGAAAGAGGACGAGGAAGAGAAAAGGGAGCGAGCTGAAAATCCTGTGAACATGCGCCGCGGAGAGCTCGTAGAGGAATTTAAGAAAAAACTTGGATGTGTCCTATGGAAAACAAAGGCTGATGAATACAAAGAATATGTGACAGTTTTTCAGTGTAGCTTTTAAAGACGGATTGCAAGCTGGAATCCGGGTGAGTGCAGCACCGGAAACAATAATTGGAGGAGGCTGGATTGTTGAAGCTGTCGAACAGTCGGCATCATTCTCCCAGGTTAGAGATGGCGACATTCTTGTTAAAGTGAATGACATGGCATGTATAAAGTATCGTTATCAACGCATACAGGATATGTTGCCTGCAAGGTCACTTGCCAACATAACTCTAGAGTTCTTCCGACCAGCTGAAATTGGTGCCAACACTTCAGTCAATCATACGCCTTCGTGGATGCCACCAGCTAACCCATCAACAACAATGGCTCCTTCTATGATACCAATCCTGAAACCCAGTCCTCTAACACAAACTCCTACTTTAAGTCCAGCATATACGCAGACGGTCCAAATCATGAAATGCTCCCTGGGAAATAACTATCTCTATGGATCAAACTCAGAAAGACTGAGTCTTTTAGAAATAACTGGAAAAGATTCAAGGATTTCCTTTTATGATGTGCGCACAGACATCCCTTTCACTTTGTTATTTTTTTTATTACTTAAGATCTTTATTCTATTCTACGTTAAAAATCTTCATAGCCCTGCAAAAAATTCAGTTGCAACTGTATTACCAGCAGAGCTGAGACAACTGCCGACTTCTGCTACTAAAATATAATAACGTATAATAAGGAGTGCGGTTATTGACTGAATGTAATTAAGAGTTTTGTTCACAAACTACTAGCACAAGTAGCAAATTCGTCGTGGTTAGAATAAAATATTTTCTTTATTGAGAGACTTGTACAAATTTGAGCTATGTGGGATTATATATATCAGATTAATATTAATCCTAATCGTTAAGGTACGGCTCAAAGCTCAGTTATGGATTATAATAATCTATTACTGGATCTAATATTAGGATTAATATTAATCCTACATAAGATTAATAGTAATCCTAATTGATCAAGGCACGGCTCAAACCTCAGTAATGGATTATAATAATCTGTTACTGGATTATAATAATCATTAGGATTAATATTAATCCGAGTTGTCCTGTCCTGGGAAAAGGTTATCACAGAAATGAAGGAGCGTGTCCCTGATGTACTGGATGTCCTAGCTGCTGAAGCAATTCGAAATGTCACAGCTCATGAAGACATGCAGTGCAAAGCAGATTGCCCCACTTTGTACTGCATATGGCATACTAATGTTACCTGGTGGAAAGAACTAAGCTTGATACAGAAGATGAACAGTATATTGCTCAGTACTGGACATGCTACTGAAAGGGTATTTAATGTATCACAATTAACTCTGCTTTCATGTGCATTATTGCAGCCATACCGGGGCTTTAAGGAGCATTATACTTTATTTTTAATTGGTTAAATTTTATCCGTAGTGAATCTTGCCAAAGACAAATGCAGATCTGGTAATTTGTATTTTAATATTCTGCAGACAATGAAGAGGCTTAACAGAGCAGGTGTAACAATGACCAGGGAACCTACAGGAGCATCATTGATGACATTGGGTCTGACTTAACAGGTAGATGAACATATTAAATATGTTAAATAATAATAATTAACCCTCTTGAATTTACATGTTACTAGTTTTCCATTATTTACTATATGCTAGTAACTCAGTCTTAAATTTGAAAATAAAGTAAACAATTTGAATACATGTTTTACTTTGGAAACTCTGGAACAATACCATATGTTAAAAAAAAATCTGTGATTAAAATGTGTGTGTTAAAAAGGAGAGAATCTGTCAAGTGGCCAACCTCGTTCCCAGGGTTCTCTCCTACCCGCCCTTCGGAGCGAGAGAGAGAGAGACCCTGGAAAACGCTGGTTACGTGTCTCCCACAATCTGGGAGATTACAAACAAACGATTGGGGGGAGGGGCAGGTAAGTGTGAGATTTGTCTCTACAGAGCGTAGACAGGTCAGTGCAGCCATGAAACTTTGTAGCCTCGTTCCCAGTCGTCCTCGGCGATTTCGGATGTGACGTCACCTGTCAAGCTTGTCGGGAAAGTTCGCCTAGGACGCGCTATCGCACTCGGTTCCAAACCTCCTCTGGTAACTCAGATAGCGCGAACTGGCCTGGGTAGGAGGCTGCCTGACCTGATCTTGAACGCCGAAAATAATGCACAAAGTTCTTTGACAGCGAAAGCGTAGCTTCCTGCAGATTATCTGGATGTTAATCGGATGTTTTTCAGCGAAGCTTTTGATTTGGCACATGCAACGGAAATCGCGGAGGATTCACCGTTTGTGCAGTCAAAAATAATTTAGGTATCCTGGTAGTAGTATTCATACCGAAACGCACTATATTTGAATTGCGGTTTATACGTTGTGGAGGCCACTTTAGAGAACAAACGTACAGTATCTGTATGTGTTTTCAAGACTACTATTATGTAAGGCGCCGAATAAATGTATCAAGCGTTGCTGTCCTCACCCGCGACCTCGAACTGCCTCGAAGCAACAGGAAGAGAGAATACGCGGCTCGGACAGTCAGGCTGATTGATAGCTATTGTTCAAATGGAAAGAGGTAAAGAGAATCTTGAAAGAAAATGTTTTTAGTCGAGGCTCTGTGTTTTTGCATTTTTTGTCGTCGTTATAATTACCAGTGTAGCCGTAAGCTTCTTTGTTAAAAAAATACCGTATGATATGGCTTGCACAATTGCCAACCGTTTATTGTTCCTTATTAATTTTCTGGATGTTTAAGTATGCCAGGGGGGGCTGGCAGCGAGGTCTGGAACCGAGTTTAC